CGATACAGAACACTAAATGAATGGAACAAACAATGGACAAGAAACGATACGGCAACTTTGATGAGATGCTTGATAAGTGGTCTGAAACCGTGGATACTACGAGAGTTCGGGGAGGTTGACTTTTACTTAACTGAATTCCTCACTGGACACGGATAATTCAGACACTACTTATTTCGACGCAAGCGATCACGGACGCCGGACTGTACATATTGCGGACGTGATAAAGACGATGCAGAGCACGCTGTTTACGAGTGCCCACGATGGAACACGGACTAACTGCAACTGGAAACAAAATCTGGTACAATTACGCCGGACAATACTAAGACGAAAATGTTACACGACGAGGACAAATGGATAGAGGTCGCAACTTTTGTGGCGGCTGTCCTGAGAGGGAAGAAGGCGGATAGATGCTAGAAATTAGGATAAATGTGTGAAAAATACCGCGGGTGAATGATGTATGAAAGGTTGAATGAATGAAACGGACGAAAAGACGTAATGAAACCAATGAAACGAACAGACGTTTAGACAGAACCTGCAGCGGCGAAGTAATACAAAAGTGGTCTCACGCTATGGGTTAATCATAAAATGTAATTTTCCATCCAGGGGAAATGCTCCTAAATCCCCTCAGGGTCATGCTCGATGGATGGCAAGTTAGACGGTTCCCATGGACCACCAAATCCCCTGCCGCGAATGATCTGGTTTAAATAGATTCCTCGTTTTTTTCCATCAATAATAATAATAATAATAATGCAAAACTGGTCCAGTGGGTGATAAATCTTTACTAAGCAAACGCTATCTTTTAATGTCCACGACCATGCCCTGTGAAGACGTTGTCCACTGCGTCACTTTTTTTAGTAGCCACGCTATAGCAGAAATGAATAAGAGGAAATAATGGCTCACATATGACGAAAGAATACTGGTACCTTGATAATGTGTACAACCACTCATCACCCACACTTACACGGAGCTAAGTCTGCATTCACAGTACGGACAAGGTGGCTTTATAAACGGGTATCGCCAGAGATCGAGAAGAAATATTTATATTTCTTTATAAACAGTTATATCTCTAAGGAATACGTCAGAGGGGATTTCTAAAAACAAGTACCATCCGAGAAAAAAATTAGGGAAGCAGATTAGTCTAGCAGAAACCAATCGTAAGAGAGAGATAAAGATGATCAAAAGAGGTTTTCTTCATGCCAGTGTGCACTCCCACTCAAGAGGGTACAGCGTTAATACCAGTGAGCACTACTGGGCTGCCAATATGATGTGGTCCGAACCCACGTGCAGCCGAGTTTGCCTCATATATTGGTATAGCAAATGTTAGAAATCTTGACTCTCGTAGTAGTGCCGAACGATAATCGAATGGGTTCTTTATTACAGATGCTAGGAACTAGGAATATTTACGATGGTGATGTACGCAATAGCTACTGTATACCCAGGTCACTAGACTATCGGGGCGCTCTACTATTGAAAGGGTCGAGGGCGAATCACTGGTCTTAACAATCACGATGATTTACATCTGACCACTTCATGACACTTCTAAACCACACTATAAAGAAAAATATAGATAGAACAACAAAAATATTGCAGGTTTCTCAATTTCAAATGTGCAAAAGATCGTGGACTCACAACAGTCTCTACTGCAACTCAACATGACAAATATACCGACATAGAAGATAAACATGGATATGCACATAGCGGACAAATACGAGGCAACCACCGATAACGAACAGATAAATTTATTTAGATATAAATACCGCTAGAATTTTCGAGTACAGCTCATACTATCGATGCCGTACTCAAAAAAATGGAGGCAAGGACGAAGATACAGAGAAATGTTAGTACGAACAAAACGACGAGTATGACTGTAATAAAGGAAACGTTCGAAATCGCGTGGAATGAATACGATCTCTTAAACCCTCTCTTTGAGAACGTCAAAAATACGATAGATCGACAGAATAGAAGAAAGAGGAAAACCACCGAAACTAGTTTCGAGCAAGCCGCGGCCTATTAGAGGGTTACAGATGAATTGGACTAGACCGCGGTTCCCTCCTCGCAGAAAAAAGAAAAAAACCATAAAACTGACGAATGGCAAAGCAGCAGTGACAGCGACGTTTCTTACACAGAAGATGCGACTAACGGTTTCTGGAACGGCGTCGAGTTCACAGATAGGGAGACTACAGGTTTCAACATCAGCGGCAGCGGTAACTGCCTGTCGGAACAATCCAACATATCAAAGTCGGGCCAAGGCGGCTTTTTATTCCAGAAAAAGAGGTACCCACGTCATATTGGACTGACCAAACGACGGAAAGACGTACGCAGACACATTGCGTTGATTTAAAACCGATATAAATCCTGATGACTTCAAAGTGAGCATTACGGAATACCATAAGACAACGGACGGAGGAATTTGTGCTTTCTCAGTGACGAAACTGACAAACAGAAGTTCCAACAGAAGCTGCGGCAGACTCTCGGAGACGATGGAGCTGTACAGGATTTGACGCACGGACAGAGACTAATCATTCTAGATTTGCACAGTGTCAGACACAAACGACGTCAGGAATGTACTCATATGAGAAACAGGTCACGATGTGGACTTATCTTCGGACCCAACAAAAGCAACGTCAACATGGCAATATTTGAAACAGACAGGGACATAGCACATAGGCTACTCAAAAAAGACAGAATGAAAATTGACTACGTAAAATGCCGGGTCAGGGAGAGACGGACGGTTCCGAGATACTAATGGTGCCTCGGGTACAGAGACAGACGTGCAGACTGTACAGGACCTAATAGAGTACAGTGCTGTTGAAATTGCAGCTTGCCGGGCCATGCCGAAAAAGCTTGCTCGATCAAACAGTCGACATGCTTTCTGTGCTCTGCAGCGCGGATCGGGGAGGATTTGCACGTTCCGGGTACAACGACTCAACGTAATGGATATATCAGAGACAGGATCACAAAGTACTGGAACTTACAAAGGTAAAATAAAAAGTGCTTCGGAGAACTGCTACGAGAGGTGACGGTACCCGTAGAAGCTATCCCAGCAGAGGTCGAAATACGGGAATGATTAGACTGGATAATAGAAAAGATAATAGAACATTACTGTACGATATGAGGCCACAAAGATCCAATGTAATGACAGAGTGAACAAAAAGGCAATGTACTGGAGGATAGACAAGATCGAACTCCTCTGGAGGGAGTCCAATGCCTTCAACAGGAGAGTATATCGCGCGAGAAAAAGGGAGAGCTTTGACACAGATAGACTATAAAGTGCATGCAAGACGGTAGGAAAGACACTGAATACTTCAATCAGAGACAGCAAAAATACATGTGCGAAATAACTTCATGTATAACAGGAACTTATGGACTGACATTTTCTCCAATCTATGGAAGAAGGTTAGACTGCTTCTCGTGCATAAAGGAAACAGAGAACCGCATACACTTGAGTCTTCTAGCAAATAAACTGTAATAAACGCCATGAAACTGAGACTTACGAACACGATAACAAAAAACAGAGGACTGATAGACAACCAATAAGGATTTCGAAGGGTCCGCTCGACTCTAGTGGCGATACGAGAAGTCACAGATGCCTGCCACAGCACGAGGTGCATCTGTTACACGACAAAGCCAATAATGTTTGTCGTGATATTAGAAACATCAGGAACGCCTTCAACACCGCTTGGTGCAGGGATATCCTGGAGGCACTTCATATCTTCGATGTTCCTCCCTACCTTATGCAGGTGTTGAAGGAATAAAAACTAGGACGATGGACTGCGAGGAAATTTGTAGAAGTGAACTTCTTACTGACCTAATAGTCGTGGAGAATTCAGGAAATTCTTATAGGATAAAAGGAATAGAAACAGCCTAAACTTTAAATACTGTAGACAACGAGAAAATGCAGAGCACACAGTTTTTTAGTATAATAAGTGGAATACAGAAAGACGTCGACTGGAGACTTCAATAAGTAGCATTGCACCAGGAAATATAATCACTAAGATGATGTAAAACAAAAATATCTCAACCATAACTGCGATGTATGTTGAAGCTATTTGCGAAGAAAAAATGCAGATGGGTGTCTAGAAGTAGAGTAAATGACGAAAGCATGTGTGCGCGTAAATGCCTGCAGGAAAGACTGATTGTATGTAAATTAACTAATGAATAAAAAACAGGATACAAGTTCTGATCACAAAACGATACTATTATATCATTAGACGACATCGTTTTTATAGCGGGAAGTAACACCAATGCAGTTTCCCACAGGAGAACAGAATATGGTGGATTTTTTAAAATTTTGTTTAACATCGCTCTATTTATATTCCATCAGTGCTAATCAGTAACAGAGGTTTGCAATATATTTTAGAACAAAGCACATAAAAATTCCATATATAAATTGGGTATAAACGTTATAGTTATTGATTTTAGGGCTATATTTTTATTTATTTTATTAACCATCGCGATCACTTTCTTTCACACACACTGTACCGAAGTTTGATCAATGTACATTAACCATTGTTCATCCACTCACACTCTTACTTCTACGATTCTAGATTTATATTCTCATTATACTTACAGTCTATAAAATGGTACATTTAAACGTTTACAATTACCTATTCTTTCTAGGAGGTCTCTAGCGAGACATCAGTAAATATGTTATGAGTTAATAATAAATTATCTTCAGTTATTCTCCTTTTTGTGGAATATGATGAACTTGCCTTTCAAATGATTTACTATAAAAATAGAATGTTCCCGTTTTAATATTACCTTTTCTGTATTAATATTCAAAGATAAATATTTAATAATACATTCAAAAAAGCGAATAGTGAATTAAGGTGAAAATATAATAAAAATTTTTTATAGGTTTCCTTATCAACGAAGTAAAATTACATAAATATTCGACAATATAACATGCTTTTACTACTACTACTATATAGGATAAAAAAATTCATTAATAACATTTTTGGATACAACATCGGTCATTATTATAAGTTATATATGCTTACTTCTGATATAACTTGATTTACTCTTCTTATCCGTTGAAGGTGGGGTATATTTTTATCCATACGAACTAAAGCTTGAAATAAAAGATGCTCTTTCACTGATAATGTGCCAATAAATAGATCATCTTGCTGTACATAAGCCATTTTTGATGTTATAACATTCGAATTCACTGTTTTTCCATTTATAGCTATATTTCCAGAAACTATCATATCTGAGCCGCATTGAAAAGTCAAAACGTTCAATAATGTTGTTTTTCCAGCTCCTGAAGAACCCATTATAACTAATATTTCTTCGGGATATGCTACGCCTGTAACTATTGAAATGAATTAAGCATTATTATGTTATATAATAGAATATATCATTCGATTATTAGCATATAGTAGATAAAAAGTATTTGATTATGTAAATATATTATGATCTAAACTAAATAAATGAAAATTATCACAGTCTCACACAAAAAATAATTACCATGTGCGGTAGATTAAAACACATGAATTATATGTTTTCAGGGTCGCTCAATCTGGATCCGAGATCCATTTCATCTGGCCAGATGGAGTCAAGGTCAAGTCAAGGTCAAATCCAGTAAATCTATTACCAGATAAATTATCCTATATACTTATATATTTTTAGAGTTACTGAATCCGAATTCAAGATTTATTTTACCTGGCCAGCTCACGGTTAAGGTAAAGACAAGATTAATTGAAGAATATCCATTGCTAGTAAAGAATACATGTATATTAGAGCGGTTCAGAAAAATGAAGTTTTTTATTTTTATGTCTCCGAGTTTGGTACCGCAACAGTATAATGCACAGAATGCTGTTTATAGGCCCGCGCCGGGTTCCGGTCGCCCCTTTTCGGGAGTTTGTTTCGGATGCGGTGCGCGGGGTCACCGCCGATCGGAGTGCCCGAGCAATCAGAACAGGCCGGTGGGCGCGTGTTATCGGTGTAATCAGGCAGGGCATTATGCGAATAATTGCCCCCTTTACCAGGCACAGCAGACACCGGTTTACCAGGTGCGCGTCAGGGTTGGATCCGTTTTTCAAAATTGTCCAACTTGCGCCAGGGCCGTGCAGGAAAACTCGCAGGCGGGGGCCGTCTAAACCCCTGCTTAAGTACCCTTGAGCGGGCGTTGCGTGCTCAGGAGGTCCTTCGGAGAACGAGTGCGGGTAGAGCGGGTGCAGTGGAAAAGTTGGGACAAAGAAGAGAATCAGCCGCCGGGTTAAGCAGATGCTTAGCGACAGCCGCTGGCGATCCGCCACCGGGCGCGATTAAAGGAGTCGAGCGGATAGTGGAAACGCGCATGGTATAGGACGTGCGTAGAGCCGAGAATGAGTATTGGAGGAGAGTGATTGAGCAATGCGCACAGCTGAGAAGGGTGGATGACGCGGCGCAGGGGAGCGCACGCTCGGAGGCGGTGAGAGACGCGCGGTTGTCCGTTTCCGCGCCTAGTTGGCCTTGCGCAACGGGGCCGTCGCGGATAGGGGAGACGCGCGGGGATGTTGTGTCGGGGGCGAGCGTGCTGGCCAGCAAGCAGGGTAGCTCGACGTCCGATGTGAATATCTGCCGAGATCAAGTGGCGGTCACGGGCGAGAGATTGAGCGGTTTTGTTAGATTCGCGCAGAAGGGCATGTCGCAATGGTGGAAAATAGGTTTTTCATCAACGTTGACATTGCGGGTGTCACGTACAAGGCGTTCCTTGACTCCGGAGCGCAAGTCTCAGTAGTAGGCCCTGCGATAGGAGATAGGATTAAATCACGATTGAGGCCGTCGCGGATTTCCGTGAAAGGGATCTCGGGAGAGAAACCTAGTATGTGTGGCGATTTGAAATTGGTCTTTGATGTGGGCGGTAGATGCGAGGAACTGATGGTAAGCGTAGTGTGTTGGCTGGATCACGATATCATTCTCGGGGTGGATTTTTGGAAGAAGTGGCGGTTTAACATCGATTATGAGAATCGCCAGTTGCGAGCAGGTGATCGGGGTGAACGGGTTCCTCTCGCGGGTTCCGATGAGTGCGTGGTCGACGTGTTCGCGGAGTGCGCTGGTCTAACGACCTATGAGCAGTCTTAGCGAGAGCAAATCCTAGCGTTGGTCCGCCTGATCGTCCCTGAGCAAGAAGAATCTCCGGCCGTAACGGATGTGATAGAACATGTGATCGACGTGGGAGACGCGCGGCTGATAAAGTCGCCGATGAGACGAATGTCTCCCCCGATTTTGAGCTTCGCGCAAGAAGAGACGACGCGAACGTGGAGAGCCGGGATAATTAGCCCGTCGGATAGCCAATGGTGCAGCGCACCAGTCGTTGTTAGGAAATCGGACGGTGGTTATCGCTTTTATTTGGATTTTCGGCCCGTGAATAAGGTAACCAAGGTAGATGTGTATTCGATACCGAGCATTGACTCGATCTTGGATAAATTACGCGGCGCGGTTTATTTATCGAAGATCGATCTGCGAGCGGCATTTTGGCAGATACCACTTCCGGAAGAAAGTAAGCAGTACCCTGCTTTTGCAGTGCCGGGTCTCGGGTTATGGGAATTTGAAAGGATGGCGTTCGGGCTGGTTAACACACCTGCGACGTTTATGAGGCTGATGGACGCGTTGTTCGGTCTAATGTGTTCTGGTATCTCGATTATTTGTTGGTCGTGAGCGCGGATTTTGAGAGCCACATAAGATGGTTGGAGCGCGTGCTAAGTCGTTTGGTTGGGGTAGGTTTGGAGGTTAATCTGGAAAAATCAAATTTCCTCTGCGCCGAGGTTACGTATCTGGGCTATCGCTTGGATTGCGAGGGCCTTCGCCCCGATCCCGACCGAATACTCCCGATAGTCAATTATCCGGCTCCGACAAGCTTGGAACAGTTGCGGAGATTTTTGAGTATGGTGGGTTGGTATGCACGATTCATAGAGCATGAAAGCGAGATTAACGTTCCGCTCACGAGGCTTTCTCGAAAAGACCAACCGTGGAGCTGGGGTCCGGAACAACAAGAGGCTTTTGAGCGATTAAAGAGAGCGCTAACGGAGGCGCGGGTACTTGCACGGCCGGATTTCGGGCGCGTTTTCTACTTGCATTGTGATGGTGCGTCCTTCGCTGTAGGAGCTTGCCTCGTGCAGAATTTTGACGATGGCGAGCATCCGATTTGCTATGCAAGTCGTATGCTAAACTGACACGAGCGGAACTATACGTTGAGCGAGATTGAATTTTTAACTGTTTTGTTCGCCATGAAGATGTTCCGGCCATATATAGAGGGAGCACACTTCGTAGTTGTGACGGACCATAGTGTACTTACGCGAACTTTAAGCAAATGCGAGTTAACGGGTAGACTGGACCGATGGGTTTTGGAATTTCAGCAGCTAGTCTGTGAGATCGTACATGGAAAAGGAGCGTTGCATCACGTGCCGGATGCGCAATGCCGGATCGCGTGGGTATGAAGATCAAATTGAGGTTTATGCCTTTGAAGCGATTGAGGACGCATGGTATCTGCAGCGAATGAGCGACGTGGTTGAAAGATCAAAGAAATTCGCTAATTGGAAGGTTGAGAATGGCATCCTGTACCGGTACATGCGCAATCATTTGCTTGATCCGATTACGAACCGCGAGGAGTGCTGGTGCTTAGTGGTGCCTGTGGAGTACAGGGAGCTTGTCCTGGGAGACGCCCATTGCGAGCCGTCTTTGGGACACTTTGGACAGGAGAAAACGTATGATTGAGTCGCGCGCGAGTTATATGGCCCGAAGTGTGGTATGATGTGAAAAACTTTGTTGCAGAATGTATCGAATATCAGAAGTATAAGGTCGAGCAATAAGCACCGAAAGGGTTAATGGGAAAGCGCGCGATCGAGCATCCGTGGACTGTAGTTGCGACTGACGTCGTGGAGCTGCTTCGGAGCAAGAATCGGTTTCGGTACATGGTGGTTTTCCAGGACTTGTTTACGAAATGGGTCGAGTTGAAACCCTTACGATCGGCGGATAGGAGGGCCTTGGCTTGCGCTTTTAAGGAGCTTATTCTTTTTAGATGGGAGACGCCGGACTACCTTGTAAGCGATAATGCGCAGGCTTATAAGAGTAAGATTTTTCAGGAAACTTTGCAGGCGTATGGTGTGGAGCATGTGCTCTGTCCTGCCTATCACCAGCAGAGCGACCTGGTGGAGCGCGTAAAGCGAACGTTGAAGATCATGATCGCGATCTTCGTCGAGAATGATCACCGTGCGTGAGATCAGCACCTGCATGAATTTAGGAACGCGATCAATACCGCGATACAGTCGACGACGAGGGTTTCGCCTGCGTTTTTAAACTTCGGGCGCCATTCGAGGCCCGCGAAAAGCTTGCGCCCGAAGGTGCAGGAGCGTGCGCCCATCCTGAAGATGGATCCGGAAGTCTGGAAGGACCGGCTGCTGCGATTGAACTCGTTGCGCGATTTGGTTGCGAAACATATCGAAGGGGTGCAGGAAAGGCAGAAGCGTCACTACGACAAAGGTCGAAGAAGCGCGACGTTACAGGTCGGCGATTTGGTGCTGCGGAGGTTGCATTCGCTTTCAAAAGCCACCGCGGGAAGGAATGCGAGGCTCGAACACAAATTCGTTGGCCCATACCGGTTGTTGAGAGTCGTGTTCCCCGAGATTTATGAGTTGAAAATCGATAATAGGCGCCAAACCGCGATGGTGCACGTGTCTGAGTTAAAGAGGTACATTCCGCGGCGCTGCACTATTAGAGTGAATGAGTAGGTGTGATTGTGATGGTGAGTGGGTATAGGGTAAATAGTGTGTGTTTGTTACAGGTTAGAAATGGAGGACGAGGTGGCTCAGCTCGCCGCTCTCACGGCGGTTGTCGTCGTGAGTGACGGTGAGTTGCCGGACCTGACTGACGAGGAGTCGTCGGGTCCGCTTCAGGAGCTGGTCGGCGACGACGGGCCTGAGAGCAAATCATCCGCTTCGGCCTCGTCCGCGTCGACTGCACCGTCGGTCATCCTCAGGGAGCCGACGAGGATGGAGATTACGGAACTGCTCGAGCTCGATGTAGAGGCCTGCGAAGTTGCTCCGCCGGCCCTCCCTGAAAAGCTCGAGGCCCCTTAAGAGACCCAGTGGAGAGAGTTTGGAGATAGCCCAGCCTTGAGCGGGGAGGTCCGTGATTCCAACGCCTCCGCCCCTGCCCAAGGGCCCCAAGGTGTGCGGCGAGGTCAACCAGGGCGTGGGACTGCGTCGGCGCGAGGCGTCTCGTCCAACCTTGTTGAGGTTGAAGGCACCAACCGCGACCTGGACGCAGGCCATTTAGAAATGTGCCTCGTACAGGCTCGCCACTCTACACATCCGTTCGTTAACAAGACGT